TTCTGCATTTACTTTTGTCGTATTTTCTTATTCCTAAGGTGAAAAGGGAATTAAGTAAGTGGGTATCTTGAGCATCGAAGCAGGGAAAATATGCGATTTGGAATTTCCTGTGGGAAAATGCCATACAGGGGTCCCGTGGTTCATGTCTCTAACAGCAGCAGCTGCTCTGTAAAGAGCCACATTCTCCTGACGCAGCCTCCACGGGGCTCCTCCTAGCGACTGGACTGAACTTTCGGAATATCCTTGAGTGGTGCTGCTGCAGCTTCCAGGTTTGAGGAGTATTAACTAACCGGCTGTGAACGCTGGGGGTGCCCAGCAGAACAACTGACGTGAAGTAAACCTTGCTCGGGGATGTGCGGTCGAGGACACTTCCTCTCTGGCAGCCTTTGCGCCCTCAGCTTACACGGTCTCCCGCTGAAGGCCCATGCTCGTTGCAGACCCAGGGTGAGGCGCGAAGGAAGCAGCCGACCCATCGTTCAGCCTGAACTGATGTAAAACGAAGGAGGAGCCATGTGCTCCCAGAGCCTGCCGTTTTCTTGGCGACGCCGTGGCGTTGGGCAGTGGAGGCCTGGACCGACACCGCGGGGGGGCTCTGAGAGGGTGAGGCTCGTGTCGTCAGCCAGTTAGCCTGGTTGCTGTGTCATCTGCCTCTGCCCGTCATAGCTCTATCTGTTGTCTGTGCCTGTCGTCTGTCTAGATGTATTATCTGTCACCTCTATGTGTCATCTGTCAATCGACTGTTACCCACACGTCATCCATGTGTGTCCTGTCGGTCATCCATTCTCTCCTCGCCTGTTGCTGGTCTGTCATCGATGTGTCTGTCTTTATTGTCGTGTTGGCAAAAACCGTCACTGGTTGCTTCAAAATAAGGGGCAGGACACAAAAGCCCCTGGCCAGGAAGCTGCGGATGTGAATCTGCAGAGCCTGTGGTGGAAATCTGGCTACCAGATGCTGAGGAGTTCTGGAGTTAAAAGTAGCTGGACTTTCTCCGTGAAGCAGCAGCAGCAGTAAGGGCGTTTGGAACCCTGCGTGAGCCTGGTGTCGGGACCACGGGGTGGGCCCCCCTGGGGCGGCGTGTGCGGCGACGGTGGAATCGTCGTGGATCCCCCGCCCTTCCCCCACAGTCACCAGTTACACAACCACCTTGCTTGCTGGGCTTGTCCCCACTGCTTCCGTGGAGTCGTTGCGGGTCTCTGTCAGGGCCGGACGTCTGGGTTTGTCGCAAGCGTGTGTGAATGAGTTCATCAACATACTGTCCCTAGTTTCCAAAAGACAAGGGGGACCCCAAACACCCAGAATTTATTTACAAAAAACGGTGTGTATTTACGTGTTTAAACCTCAGTCGCCTTCAAAGTATTCTCTATTTGATGCGGTACACCTCTGGAGACACCTTTCCCCCCGCTCAGAACGGTTTTTGTGCCGTCAGTTTCGACGCCTTTCTGTGTGCCTGCTGTTTTTTGTTTCACCCCCTCCACGTCGGCAAAGTCTTTCCCCTCGAGGGCGTTTTTCATCCGGGGAAGCAGAAGTCACTGGGGATAAGGTTGGGTGAATAGAGTGGGGGGGGCCTGGGGGTCATGCTGCTTTTGGCCAAAAACTGCTGAGCACTGGGTGTGATGTGACCGGGTGCTCTCCTAAATCATCCAGGCGTGTTGAAAGCATCTCCAAAAAAAAGTTCATTGAAGCCAAGCACAGCCTCTCTCAACAGTGCTAGCTGGTACACAGAGGCTGATGGGCTCCTAGAATATTTACCTGGCAGGGGAGGCCTTACTACAAGGGGCCTGCCCTCCAGAAGACAGTTCCAGGCCTTTTGGGGTCCCCCCCTTGTAGCCAGGGCTGGAGCACAGTTCCGTAGGCCCTTGAAAGGTTTTAAGAAAAAGCCACAAATAAATTATCAGCAGCCACCCACAGCAGCATGCCAGCTGCAGCCCCGTGCTTTGAGCAGAATCCTGGGCTGTGGGTGCACGGAGTCTGACCACCATCCCGGCAGGCAGGGCTGGGAGGGGGCAGGGCCACAAGCAGGACAGGTTGTCCTTGGGAGAGGAGCGCCTCGAAGCAGGCGAGGCCCCGGGTGGGACGTCAAGCAAGGCCCAGAAAACCAGGACTGCCGTCTGGATGCTGCGCTGGTTTTGGAGTGGGAACTTCCTGGTGTGGCTTTCATGGAAAACAGACATTTTCCTTAGATCTGGGGTCCTGGGTGAGAAACGTAAGAGCTATCTGTGCCTCAGTTCTCGCCTGTAAAGTGAGTTGTCAGCACTGGAAGAGACCATCTGGGGCATTTGTGATGGGGGCCGGGATGCTCTCCGGTGGAGGCTGGTGGTGGGACTTGCTCCAGGCTTTGCAGGCCGCGGGGTGGCAGCCTCTGGGCTCTGCTCCGCGTGGGAGCAGGCTGCGAGCTCGCCTACAGAAGTGGGCCCGAGGCCGGGCTTGGCCTGCCGACTTGGCGTGCTGGCCCCGATTGCGTAAAGTGCCGGCATGGAAGTTGCTTGGTAGCGTTACCTTTTCCACCTCCCGGGTTCTGAGAGATGACAGGATCTTGGGGCTTCTTAGTCTTGCCTGGAAGTTTTTTGGGCTGATTGCTTCGTGGGCTCAGTTGAAATCAAACCAGAACACCTGTTTTGAAGTGTCGACTCCTTACCTAGCCCTTTTTGGTTCTGAGAACTACCTCACAGGCTGTGAGGCGAGAGGCTTGGGAGGATACCAGGCACCCGTCAGGCTTCGGTCCGTCTTCTCTTTAGAGAGGAAGTTGCCGACGCCCAGAGGAGCTGGGAGACTCCTTTACCTGTAGTCGCAGCCATGTGAGCTTTCCCGAGCAAGACGGAGTTCAAAGTCCGTTTCCTTTGATGCCAGCCTACGCCGAACGTTAGGGAAGAATAGCCCCCCAATACTTAAACATTCCGTTGAGAAATCAGTCAAACTGGAGCTGAATTTTGGGTCTTGACAGGGCTGAGCAGGCTGGGACTTATTGGAGAATTGTGCAGAGCAGCTAGGAGACCAGAAGTCAGAAACAGCCCAGAGCTGGCTGGAAGAGCCCACTTGGACGCGCTCCAGGTGAGATGCCATGGCGGCCTCTCGCCCGTTGCCATCCCCAGGGTAGTCTGTGCGTTCTGCGCCTGTCCTTCCTTCCCCCCTGTCAAGTGCACCTCAGCCGCACGGCAGGCGGCGGGCTGGATTCTTAGGACGCTGAGCGTGAGACAGCATGGGTTGGGCAGGAACACAGCACGAAGCCGGCGTCCTCCGTCGCTGTGTTGTTTCGGAGAATGGTCAGGAACACCGTGTGGAAGGACAGTGGCTCGGCTGCTTCGGGGGTGCAGTGCAGCTGCCTGTGCAGGGCTTCCTGGAGACCCCCAAGAGCAGAATGACCCGCCTTGCCTGCAGCAGGGCCGGAGAGCTTGGGTTGGCCAGAACCTGCCGTAGGCCCCCGAACGCGACCCCTCTTTACTTTTAATTCTGCCCTCTGCATGGCGAAGCCAAGACTGGGGTGTGTCTACCCATGGCCCAGAGCCCCTCTGATGGCTGGGCCTGGACGCTAGGACGCCTGGGCTTCCGGGATTTTGTTTCCTCTATACGCTGTTTTCTTCATGTTTCCTCAAAACCAAGTATTTTCTTTTTCTCGTGTGGTGTGACAGTTGTAGCCCGTAGAGGGCAATTAGAAGGGATAAAGAGTGAAACTGACGCCACGACTGGCATCTCCCATAGTAACACAGCCCCTGTGCTTGTGTATATGCCTGTGGGTGTTTTTGTGGTCCAGATTTTGGACATCCTTTTAAAAACAGGGCTGACTGGGTATTTCCAGAAGCCACTGAGAGCCTCTCTGGTGGTCAGCTGATGGCTGCAAGGTGCACAGCCTGTACCTGGCATGGGTTTAATGCCTGCGCAGCGCCCCACGTTGGGTGGCCAGCCAACGGCAACACACTTAGCTGCAGAACCACCCATCGACAGGTGGATGCATGCCCCACGCCTTCCTGGTGCCTGTGGCTCCGTGTGTAGTCCCCAGCCACGTGTTCCATGGGGGAGACGAGAACCCGCTCGGGGACTGTGAGCCAGCGGAGTCGGTGTCCAGGGTAAGGACTGCTCGCCATGGTGAACATGCTTCCCCAGGAGAAGCAAGTTTACCGACTTGTGCGTGGGTCATGATGACTCTTCCTTCGTTTTCTCTATTTTAGTTGAAACTTGGGACTTGAGCTCTTCCAGGATGGCTTGAGCAGAGTCCTAGAACAAAATTTAAAAGATTCCAGAAAAACTCATGGGTGGAGTGAGCATTCTGTGTCAGAGCTTATGACTGGGAATGGCAGTTGCTTGTTAACAAGGTTAGTTTGTCCCCTGTGCCCAGTGACTTGGCACTTGGGGAGGAGTACGTGTAGCTCGACCTCCCGCGCCGGCTGCCTTGAGCCTCTGGCTTTGCCGTGGGGGTTCTCGTCAGCACGATGAGCACCTTCTCGCGGATACCGTGGCTTTCCCCGGGGCTTCATGCTCTTTTGCTTTGTTCTATCTCGTGTTTCCCTCGGTTTTAGTCACTTGTTCTTCAGGAATGTCGCGGTCGTTTAAGGTTCTTGTGACCGACATGCCTGATTAGAAAAAAATCTCGTTAACGGAAGAAGCTGCCACTCAGTGTTGGTGTTGGCTGGTATCCCTGGCCCAGGCAGTGCAGATCCACCGCTGATTAAGTTGATGAGAGCCCGGCAGTGTGGGAAGACTTGCCGCACCGGCTGCCCTGGATAAGATCTTGGGAATCCAATTCTAGACCCCATCCACCAAAACCAAGCGAGAGGGGGCCAGGGAGGGGACGTGTGTTTAGCATGTGACTTTTATGTCACTTAAATACAGTGGGTTTTTGTTCGAGGGCAGGGGCGTGGGTCAAGGTGAATGATGTACCATGCTTCTTGTGAAATTCTAACCATAAGGGAAACAGATGATAAAGACAGTCGTGACTTGTGTCTTTTAGACTCCACTGAATGATAAACTCTATGGCAGTCATTCTGAATTTTTTTTTTCTCTTGCAGGTGACATCACACAAAAAGGCTATGAGAAGAAGAGGTCAAAATTAATTGGCGCCTACCTTCCCCAGCCTCCGAGTACGTAACCCTAATGAGTAGCATAAAGCATTCTGTTTAAAGCATTAGCTACAGCTGGCAGGAGAAACAACTATGACCAAGTCCTTCCTTAGTCCCAAATCTGCACAAAGAACGTGGATTTGACGTGCACACTTGTCACGCCTAATTCCTTTATATGATCACACATGTATTTTGTGACTGTGGAAGGCACCTAGGATTTTTCTAGATAGAGGGATTTCATCTTTAGGGAGAGATGAATAATGATCACATTAAAATGCTGTAATCACAAAAAGATGAGAACATTTGTTATTTAAATATGATTTTTGTTTAGAGAGTTATTATTGCTATTATGGTTTAAATTAATCCAAGGTTTTTGTTGATGATGTTTGTTGATAGGATGCCAAATCTAGAACTCTAGAAAATATGATGTCCTGCCTGTGATTCTGAAATTGTAAAGATTGGTTGTGTTTTGGGATGTGGTTGTAAAATGTGGCTTATTGATTCTTCAGAAGTACAAAGTCTGTTTCCTTCCAGCATTTATATATGTGCAGTTTGTAGAATCTCTGCACTTGAGCTGGGCTCTGTAAATTTTGGGAAGAAGAAAGTGGTTCTAGACTGGGGTTTAATGCCTCGGTTCCAATGCAAGCTCGATTCAACTTGATGGTGACTGAAAATTTGGTAGGCTTTAGGAATGGCTTAAAGCTACCACAGACGACTTCTTCCCCAAGCAAAAAGAAGAATGGTATAAGTTTTGAGCATGGAAACTGAACTCCATAGTTTTCACTGTGAAACAAAGTTTTCAAAGGTTTAAGTATGCACCTGTGCACACCTGCACAAACCCCAGTTCCGTTCTTTCCCAGGGCCCTGATGTCTGCAGCAGGGTTCTGTGAGCAGGGTAGAGAGAGCTTCTCAGGTCTCGTGTTCCAGGACACTTTGTGTGTTGGGTTTCTGCTGTTTGTAGTTTGTTTGACTTCTTGTGTTTTTCCTCCCTCGACTCTGAAGACAGTGATGTGAAGGTGGATCTGTCTGTAGGCTTACTTAGGTGAAGGGCTATGTGGCCCTGTGTTCTGGTCACAAAAGGGAGACACACTATTCTCCCTGGGGAAGAAAAGTGCACGGGCCGGCCACAACCCTCGAGTGCGAGGCTTGTGGCAAGGGCTGGGTAGCTCACACGAGCCTGTCCCCTCTCCCTCGTTCCCTGGCCTTCCAACAGAACCGTGAGACGGTGGCCGTCTCGGCCTGTCATGTGCTGAATCCCCTTCCACGGGCGCCCTCGCGTCCTGAGGAGGGCTGGGGGGCTGACTGGGCCGTTGGCCTTGTCGGTTGCCACTTCTGTGCTCTGCCAAACAAAAGTGAAACAGAAGCCAGCAGTTCCTGGCTTCCAGAGGACGCCCTGCAGCCACGACCTGGCAGAGACCGGGTGTAGAGGCCCCCGGCCCGCGGTCCCTCTGGTGGTCTGTGTGCTGTTCTGCATGGGGTCGGCAGCTCTGCTCAGCGCTGTAACAAATTTAAAAAAAACTAAAGTTTGGATTAATTAGTTTTTTTTCAACTTGTTACAGCAGCGAATGGAGCTGCCGTGGTTCGGTGTAGACTGCAGCGCAGTGAAGGCGTGCCGAGGAGACCGTTCCGCTCTGCCCACATCGGGGTGTGCGACGTCCGAGAAGCCGCGGCCCGGGAGCGGGCGGCCAGCGCCACGGGGAGCCGGCCTCTGTTTTACTTTCGTTTCGGTGAGCGCTGCTTTGCTGAGGGAGACCCCATGGCAGGGAACCAGGGACCGCGACCGCAAGCCGGCTGCCCGCCTAGTGGCATCCTACACCGGTGTGGGCATGGCCTCGGGGCCCAGAGGCCCACCAGAGACTTGGCCCGGGGCCCTCAGCCCCAGAGCTTGCGTGCTGGGCAGCCAGGACCCAGCTCTGTGTGTTTCTTGTTAAAATAGAAGGTTCTGTTTCCACAGTTCCCTTCTCTCCATCAGGCTGCCACTTAGAAAACACTTGAGGAAGGATGTGTGACAAGCTCTGCAGCCTTTTTCGAGCTGTTGGTCTTCTACAACTTTTTATCTTATAGCGAAGATCTGGGTAAAGAATGAACTTGGCTTCTGAGATGTGCTAAAGGGAAGACTTTGAGAGCTATAGCTCTACCATATTCCTGTCTCCAAAGAGCAAAGTTATGAGTTTTTGAAACAGAAAGCTCAGGTAATCATAGGGTATATGCTTAGAGGTAACCGTCCTGTGCAAAGGTCGGAATTACTTTGGTGGGCAGTGTTTTGAACATAAGAAGTTCTTAGGCAAAAGGCTAGTTCAGTATACCCTTTTTGCCAGGCCCCTGTAATCCAGCACTTGGAGAGGCAGAGATGAAAAGATGGCTTGAGGACAGGAGTTCAAGACCAGCCTGGGCTACAGAGAAAGACTCCCTCTCTACAAAAAACATTTTTAAAAGTAAAAAAATGCGCCTTTTTAATAGGATAAAAAATACTCATTTGCACATTGAATTTTTAGGTTCATGTTCACGATGATACTTGAAGTAAAATATGTTGTTTTAAAATCACACACAAATAGTAGGGGTATACTTTAGTATTACAGTTGGCCACCGGGATCTCAGAGGTGGATGCCCCAGCCTTTATCTGTCGGCCTTAGCAGTGTTCCCCTCTCTTGGCCAGGCTACCAACTCTGCTGTGCCCTTGTAGGGGACGAGGGGCGGAGTTGATGAGTTCATGGCCGAGTCGGGCTGGCCGTGAGGTCTACTTCAGGGGTTATCTGACCGTGATGAAAACAGAGCACATGGGGAGCCCGTGTCTGATGAGCTCTGTGTGCCCAGAAGGCATGGCCAGGGCAGCTGTTTCCAGGTGGGCCCCGGGTCCCTGTGAATTCTGCAGTTTTTACCTCTAGTCTTTATTTCTAGGAGTTGCCTCTGAGTGGCAAACAGTCCTCTGTCACATGTGGTGGTGTTCTGGAAACACAGAGAGTGAAGCTGAGGCTCCCTCTTGACTGGCCCCACTGGGAAGTCATCCTTCCGGTGCAGGGTCTTTATGGGAAACATCACATTTCTTTTCCGTTCCCCCTGCACTGCCATAAGCTCATATAAGGGGCTTTTGTTTTGGTGAACTTGGCTCCCTTTTCTCCTCGCATTTTGATTTACTGGAGAGATTGTTTTCTCCAGCAAGAATCTCTGAGGTGGTATTTGGGACCCACAGTCATGAGCTAGACTGGCATTAGGCAGAAGCCGGGGTGTGGCCCTGCCACGTGAACACAGCCCAGTGCCTCCCTCAGTCCACTTGAGGCCAAGCGTGCCAGGAGCCAGGAAGAAACTATATGCTAAGTGAAAAGAGAGGTCAGGCTGGTGGTGCACTCTGGGAGACCGAGGTGGGAGGATTGCTTGAGCCCAGGAGTTCTAAACCACCTGTGCCACACGGCAAGACTTTGTCTTTACCATTCTACCAAAAAATAAAAATAAGGCCAGGCCTGGTGGTGTACACCTGTTGTCCCAGCCTCTCTGGAGGTTGAGGCAGGAGAATCACCTGAGCCCAGAGGGTCAAGGCTGCAGTGAACCATGATTGTGCCACCGCACTCCAGCCTGGATGACAGAGGGAGAGCAGAAAGAAAATACCGAAAACGGTTTTCAGAGAGAGACCGTTGCTTCGGGGAATGCCTTCGTTTGGTGCCTGTCCCGCAGTGTCTGGTTCAAACCCCTCCCTCTGGGTTTAATCCTTAAACCCAGTTAAACTTGCAAAAATAGAAAGTCAAATCCACATGCAGCACTCTCTTCAGGGATGTCTAATAACATGTTGTCAACTTTTAGGAGTCTTTACTGCTTTTATGATCAAGCCATGGTGGTGGTGAAAGTGGTAAAATTTCAGTGTGACCATAAACAGTAAAACCTTCCTGCCCAGAAACGGTTCCTCTTGCTCGTGGCAGGTGTGAGCTGGGTGCCACTTTTTACGTGATGGTCCGCTAAGTGTTTCTCGGTGTTGGGCAACTGAGGTAGGTCATCAGTCTGCAAGCCCAGCCTGCTTTTAAAAAATTTTTATTTTATTATAGGAATGTGGGGTACAAGTGAGGATTAACTACTAAGCAGGCTGCGTGCAGGTGAAGTCTGGGCCTCCAGCCGGCCCTCTCTCCCCCTGGCCATAATGCTCCAGGCACCCGTGTTGTCATGTGCCTCCCTCCCGCCCAGCAGTGTCCAGTGACTGCCGATTCCTCCCTTGCTAACGTGACCAGCGACCAAGACCCATTTATGAGTGAGAACATCAGTCTGCTTTTTTCCAACAGCCGGGCTCTCTACCTCAGGTGCAAGTTGCGAGGACTCTGACGTGCTCATTCCGAGAGCCAGGTGCGTTTGGCTGGTTGCACCAGCGGGAGAGTCTGTCTCCTCCCCTCCTGCCCCCCCGGAGTGCACGCGAGCAGCTGTCTCAGAAGAGGCCTTTTGTGGCCTGTATGAACCTGTCCGTCCACACTTGTTTCTGCTGGAGACACAGATGGTGACCCCACTTGGCGTGAGGGTCACTGCCCTGTCAGGCTGTGGACCTGACTTCAGCCCTGGCCTTGTTTGGTCCTCCCCTCCCCACACTCAGGGCTCCCCGATGTCCGCACTGGTGTCCATGCTAGTACCTCCGCACGTGCTGCATCCTTTGCCGTGCCTGGGTGTTGTCCAAAGCTCAGTTCAGACACTGCTTCCTTGGATTTCTCCCTGATTCCTCCAGTTAGGACAGGACCGGGCTCCGATCTCCGTCATGTCTTACTTCTAGAACACTGACCACAGTCGTAGTTGGGTGGTGGTCACCGAAGAGTCTACCCCTTCCCCCACAGTGGGACATAACCCCCGAGGACCCTGGCCTCTGCACACGGTCAGTGGATGTTCCGCCAGCATTGGCCGAGTGTGTGAGTGGGTGGGCGGGGTGGGCGGAGTGTTTCTTGTGTCTGCTTGTGTTCCCAGCCAGGTGGGGGCAGGGCGGGCCATCTCCCACCGTAGGGGCCGTGAGCGCAGGTGTGTCCCTGCGCTACGGGAGCCAGAGCGTGATCAGAGACCTGGTGCAGCCCAGGGCAGGTGCCAGCGCATCAGTGGCCGCTCAGGGCAGTGCGAGGCAGAGAGCGGCCGGGGTTTCAGGGTCTCTCTGAAGCTTTCTCTTGGAGTTGGGTTCATTTAAATGGCAAAAGGGGACGTGCGCGTGCTGACTAATGGCCGAACTATCATAGGCTCAGGTAATTGAACCCTCGGCACATTCCAGTCAGTTGAATTCTGTTGAAGAACTGAGCTTGAAAATCCTGCATATTCAGTGCTGTAGCTGTTCTGTTCTTTGAGTGACCCACTGTGGCCAGTATGGAGAGCTTTGTCTGAAATCTGGTCACAGGTTCTCCTGCTGGGTTTGATGGGGTTTTTTGTTTGTTTGTTTTGTTTTTGAGAGAGATGATCTTGCTCTGTCACTGCCCCGGCTGGAGTTCCCTGGTGTGATCACAGCTCACTATAGCCTCCACCTGCTGGGCTCAGGCAATCCTTCTGCCTCAGCCTCCTGAGTAGCTGGGACTGCAGTCATGTGCCACCATGCCTGGCTAATTTTTAAAATTTTTTGTGGAGACTTCTGTGGACTCTGTTGTTGCCCAGGCTGATCTCAAGCTCCTGGCCTCGAGTGATCCTCTCACCTCAGCCTCCCAAAGCACTGGGATTACAGGCGTGAGCCACCACGGGCAGCTAACTGTTAAAAATTTTAGTGTTGAGATGGAGCCTTGCTATGCTGCCCAGGCTATCCTCAAACTCCTGGCCTTGAAGGGTTCTCCCGCCTCGGCCCCCCAAACACGGGGATTCCAGGTGTGAGCCACCACACCTGGCTCATTTTTAAAATTTTTATTGTAGATATGGAGCCTGGATCTATTGCCCAGGCTATCCTCAGACTCCCCGCTTCAAGTGATCCTCCTGCTTCGGTCTCCCAGCGTGCTAGGACCATAAGCCTGAGCCACTGCCCCTGCCTGGGCTTTGGTATTTGTGAGAGAGAACGCTGCCCGCACTTGGCAGAGTTCAACGCTGGTGAATCTTGTGCTTGGGTCCTAAGTGAAATGGAAAGCTTGATCTTCTATTTAAGGATACACACCTGAGCCGCATGCCACAGTGCTTCATTTTCCTGGAAAACGCAGCCAGTGGCATTGGCCTGTTCAGCTGGCCGGCTACGAGCCTGTTTTCAGTCTGCCCTGATGCTTCCTGTCTGCCGTGGCCACCCTTCCCTGGGCAGGTGCACAGTGTGGCCCGAATTTCCATCCTGCTACGAGACATGCAGTCTTGTGACCACAGGGCAGCCCTGCCCCAGACACGCAGGCACAGAGGCCTCTTCCTGACCTGGCCTGCAGGGTCCCGTGGACCTGTCTGGGCAAGTTTCCTGTGCTGAGGAAACAAAGACGTGACGCCCCAGCCCCGACGATGAAGGTGTCATCTCCGGGGAGCAGAGATGGAAGCTCAGGGCGGTGGCTTCCCACGCAAACGTCAGACTCTCTCAGCTCCCCGGCTTTTTACACTTCTCCGGCCCAACCAAAATGTCACAATAGGAAAATGGCTCTTAAGCAGAGTGGCACAGATTTGTGGCAGAGACGGCCGTTTAGGAAAGATGAGAGAGAGTGGCGCCGTGATGTGAGGTGGGGTTCCCAAGGCGGGGGCAGGTGTTGGGGTGCCCCTGCAGTGGGATTTCAGTCTCCACTTGGCTCCCATCTGAGGAAAGGCAAAGCGGACGCTGCTCCTCTGCATGGCC